TGTTTCACGGGATTTTTACTTTACTCTAATTGACTCAGTTCTTTCTTATCAAAAATTATAGTTACTATTTTCTGAAATAGTATCAATTGAATGCTTTGCGCAATTTTGAAAGCACAGGGATCCCACACTGAGATCATTTTTCATGTAAATAAACTGATATATTGAGCCCCCGTCGTTAAGTTTGTTGATTTGTTAATCGAGTGAGAATTGCAAGAGCTTAATTAAAACAAAATCAAGGAAGTGAAGAAAAAAATTGCAGGAGAGCACGTAGATCTTCCCAAACCGCACATCGCGGAAAACATAGAATAAAACTCTCTAAAACTCTCTCTCTAAAACTCTCTCTCTCTCTCTCTATCCTGATCAACCTTTAGCCTTCTCCGTATAGGCAATCATGAAGGCTCTATTAAGGTCCGTTTACACTGGCGATTTTTGCAGCGATTTCTGTGGCGATTTTTGTGAGAATTCATTTGATCCTAGAGAATATAATGCTAATAAAGAATTTAAAGCTTGTAAACTTTGATAAACGTCTCCTCAGAAAGATTAGGCAAAATCTATTTTAAATCTACTTTTTAAATTCGCCAAAGCAAATATTGCCGCAAAAATCGCAAGTGTAAACCGGCCTTTAGGAAATCAAAGGACCGACAAAATTGCATTGATAGCTGAGAAGGAGGATGTAGTTGAACGTTACTTTCTTCCCTGCCGTGAATCTTCCCGGGAAATCTATGCCAGCATGGTTAAAAATACATGCAAATATAAAAGGGTCTTTGCTTCCTTCCTTTCCCATGAGTATATACACGTCCGTTGAGATCTTGATGAAATCTTGATGTGTAGAATTTTTTTATATARTACTCTAAAAAGACGTATTTGCATAATATCAAATTGATAATATAGTTTTTTAATATTCAACCCAATTGGTATCCCAATAATGGYTATCAGCAAAAATAAATTGCGCTTTCCCCCAAAGTGGGTTTTTTAGCCATTTTGCAGTGGAAATTACCCAAAATGCGYCTAATATATKGATATTGTAGACTAGTAGTTKAGTTTATATCTTTCATTCAGTAGATTTTCTTTTTTTTGAACGAAACCTAACTGAGAAGAACAAACTTGTTTCAGACTTTTAATTCAATATTTAAAAGCGACTGAGGCCACGCAAGTCTCTTAAACCACTCGGATGATAATCAACCAGTAGGTACAAACTGCTGAAGTGCTATGAAGACCCTTCTAGTGTCTAAAGGTTCTTAAAKTAGAACATGACGATTGATTTTTGGTCGATGTGTTAAATACATCTTACGTAATATATCTAAATAACCACYATAGCCCTGTAAGTCACAAATGATTATAYCTWTGAATGAATACTGATATTGATAAGMGAATTTTCCTGGGCTGTTGTGGTTWTAAGCTCATAATTAAAAAAATGTGGGGCTCAAAAGGAGTCCCAATGTACTCGGAAATCTGAATTATATTTGTCTTAACGTGTACGTAGATCTAATCGGCTATCGAGTTACCATGAATCCTAGAAACATTCAACGTCCAAAATCACAACGAAACAGTTATTCTGCAAGACGTCATGTTTTAGGCAACGCCTCAGGCGACTAGGTCTCTTACTTCCTCTAGTGTCCATATAAACCCCCGCCCCTCCCCACCCCAAAAATCTGTTTAAAATCCCTTGAAAAGATTAGAACAATGGCAAAATGCGATTGTGATGATCATAGGGACACACTAAGGGCCTGAGATAGGGTGCCCCTATGTGTTAGGGATAACTCCTTTGTTTCTTTTCACTGGAGGATTCAAAATAAAAGATTTAGGCTCTACTACCTAGGGGCACGCCTTTTGATCAATTTAGTACAGAGGAAATAGGGGGGGGGAAGGTACCCCTGATATTCGCTATACCCAACCAGGGTATCGTTTTTAGCGATTTTATCTGGAACTGGGTATGTCGGGTATCGATTTCACCGATTTTTCTGTGGAGCAGGGTCAGCGTTTAATTGTTTAATTCCGGAATTATCGATGCTGGGTAAAAATTCACGGGGAAAAATTCGGTCTACACGCAGGCTAGTGCTGTATTTTACTTAGGGAGTACCCTCCCCCCCCCTTCCCCCCGGGGTTACATTCAAAAGGAACACTCGTGATAGTCACACTGGTCACATACCTTCTTATGGTTCTATTCGGACTCGAATTTGTGGGTGCATTTGGTGCAAGTAGTTACGTCGGAGGGCCTGAAAACGAGGTTGATAAGTTGAGACATTTAGACTGGTGGTATAAGGTGTTCTTGGCCCCAAGTTACTGGTTGTGCACATCTTGATTTTCTGTTGGTGTAGACACAGCTTTGATTTGTGTAAAGTGTTGTAGATATATGTAATTTAGTGATAAATATTTGTATTCTACACGCATTCTGTCCATTATAAAATGTACATTTATTGATAATAAAACTACATATGTCTACCATACTTTACATCGCACATCAGCAGGCTGTAAACACCCCATAGACTATATCATTGCACCACTACACACTCACCAGTTAACGAGCAAAAATAGCGGTATTGTTTTTGTTGTGATTGATGAATAGGTATAACTTAATACATTGGGATCAATCAGTCCTATAGTATTGTTCTTGGGTTGCTGCTGTTTTTAATTGTTTTTTCTGTTTTACACTCCATGTCCAAATAGTACAGGTACTTTTGAAAATATAAAGGGATTCGTATCTAATTTAAAAAAGATTTGAAAAGCTTTGATTTTTTTGAAGAATTCTACATTAACAATGAAAAGCAATAAAGTTAAAGTCGCTTTCTTTATAAGCGATCGTGATGAAATGTTAGTTGTGTGCGAACTGGTTCATAGTAGAATGGCCTGGYGCAATGGATTACTTCCTGTCCAAAAGTATGTTGAATCATCAAAAATCCGCTCTTAAAGTTGGTCCTTTCAATATCATTACTTCTGAATGAAACAACATTTTCTTAGGTCTAATAACTTATCGTAGAAGATGCTGATTGGCCCCTCAGGCACTCGAATACTGCAAAACAATATCTAACGCAAACATCAATCAATTGACGTTATTGAATATTCACTCGAGGTGTCACGTATTCACTAAATWGTGGCCAAAAACTCTATTCTAATGTTGGAATTTCTTGTTTTATTTATAAGAAAGGTTGTTCTATAACTCATATCTTTGATTTGAAGTCATAATATTGTTGTTTCGTAAAGGGATTTGTCCAGTTTTTGTTTCGTGCACGAAGGGTATTTATCGATGGTCCTCTGTCTGGAAATGGTTGGCATGAATAATTGAAATCAAGAGAAAAACCTGTCAAAAACTTTAAATAGAAARCTCTTACATAAGAAATGGAAAATATCGGACATTTCAAGGCATTTCATCCACCAATGTTGACAGGCGCTGGATTTTATCATTWGGAAGAGTCTAGAAATGAAAAGAAAACSTTGAAAGGACATGCATTTTGGCGACCATGTGTTCGTGAGGATAATATATTCATGAATCGTCGCCAGAGGAATTGATACACCAATATTAATGGCGTCAAAATAAAATAAAACTACTTACAAAATTGTGTGGCAAATAGGAAAASACAACTCGCGATGCTTATTTCAACAATTTTGGTAACAATACGAACTTAATTRTTACTTTTATGTTTTGTTCTTTGTCGCAAACAAGTTATAGTATTTTGATATCAGTAAATGTTGTTTTTTTAGTCTTTTCTTTCCTTTGCTTTCACGGACTTGAAAGTTGGAAAAAATGAATTATAATCCATCATCATGTCGATTTATCTGCGAAATTACCTCGCATAATTTATCGGTCAGTCCCAGTCASCCTGCGCTAGTCCTGTGAAAGCGTGAACGGATTTCATAAATCTCTGTGAAGCTTAGGGAGTCATTTTTTCCATCGACACGTCCATTCGCTGGTTTTGTTTGGCGTGAGTTTCGCACTTTTTATTGCATTAGTCATTAGCATAAAAACTCACGTTGTATCGCGAATTTAGTGCCATAAGAATTGATAATAGTAGATATTTATATAAAGAAAATTTCAGCTGAGATTCAGGGCAGATCGTAATGTGATTGGTGTAGTTAATACATCGGCCTCAACGTTACCATTCATCGTGACTTACATTCATGAGTTACAATAGGTGGTTWGCAGACAAGATACGTGACCAAATCTTTTGTGTTATATTCTCATGCAAATACTGAGGGCCTGTTGTCCAGGTATTACCAGAGAGCGTGTACAATTTGAATAAATTATGCTAATTTMCAGAAGCGACCAATCATAGAGCTTGAAAAAGCTGTACTAGCCAATCATAATCGATCTTGAACTTATGAATATGTCATTCACTTGAAACTGACAATCAATACGAAAAAACAGACAATAGCCATGTCAATCATCGGACAGGGGGTTCGAATGGCTACGAATGATCGGCTTTTCCAAACCTGAAGTCAAGTTTGTGACCAGAGCACTTTGGTAATAGCAGAACAGCCAAACCAAGGGATTCGAATCAAACTGGCCAACGTAAACACATCGAATTGACTCGTTTAATGAAGATTTGTGTTACACGTGAAACGTGTGTTCTAGCAATGGATTTAGTGGTGTTGTGAGTGCGTTTCGTGTCTTGGTACATATTCTATTCTATTCGGTATCTTTGCCCTCGACAAATTCCCTGTTTGTGGCAAGCTTTTAGAAGCTATTTTTCAAGCTGGCGGCCCCACAGATTGAACCTATGAATTCCAACAGTAAGCTGAAGAGAAAGAAGAAGGCTCACGGGTGTGTGATATTTCTATATTTTTGGATTATATGTTTCGTGCCAGTTCAAGCGAGAGGATTCGTGAGACCGAAGCGATTCGAGGCGATGTGGTGTCATGTTTGTATGTAATTCTCACCTCTAAATTCTCTCTGGTTTTGTAAAAATTCGCTCTGGCTAAGTCAAATGCGATTAAATGGGATCTAAACAAGAACTAATTTCCACACTCGACTATATATATCATGTTATGTCGTGTATTTCCAGGCCTGGTAATCCATCGAAGAGACATCGCGATCGCCTGAACGCTGAATTGGACAACTTGGCGAGATTGCTTCCATTTCCTGAGGAAACTGTTACAAAGCTGGATAAAATATCGATTCTTCGACTAACGGTCAGCTATTTACGAGCCAAGAGCTTTTTCCAAGGTAAGCTTTTCGTCCTATATAACGATATACGCAGGACATTCTACGTGAGACTTCTTTATTGACTGCAGTACTAGTTTTATATGCAGCGCGCGCTATATCTTGAAGTGTGTCCGAAACATAAGGCGACGAATTATTCAGATTTTAGAAACTAAACTTTCCATTGTACGTACCAAGCGGGTGCTGTTTTTTTAAGATATCAACAAGGTTACTTGTAGTTTTTATTTTATTAAGACTAGGTCAAGCCCTGTTTTACATCCCTTGCTTATATTTTTAAGCCCTCTAGATCATTTAGAAACGTCAACAATATAGAAAGGTCTTGGTACTTGGACATTTTTTATCGGTATTTCATTAATAAAGGTTACAGAGGTCAGAAGTTATAGCTCTGCTTCTTGTGCTGTGCCAAGGGCCATGTTTCGAAGCGAGGAATGATTCTGTAAATCGTACACGCGTTATACCACAGATTAAGTTATTTACATTTGACCATCCTTGCCCTTTCACACAGTCCAGAATTTTCCTGACACTGAAGTTATGAGCTTTGTTATTTAGCGCATGTATGTGGATGATTTTGTACATTGAGCGAGAGATGTGTTCACCCAAACTTGTCGTGTCGCTTTGTTGAACCAAACTTCACACATTGTAAAAGAACGGAAATTAAGTCGCAGTGAGTGTCGCTCGAATTTAATACCTTGAACGATGTTCCAATCATACGTATCTCAATATAAAGTATCCATTTACAATATTCTAGAACTATAATATAAAAATTCGTCTTTCTACGGGCTGACTTTATCTGTGTTATGTCTTTTCTAGATGCTTTGAATTTACATGTAAACATTCAACGAAAGTCGACATTTTCTATTTACTAACTGGCGCGACTTATATTTTTAAGGGCATCAAAGTACCAGATTCGTTGTAATGCGAGTATGGTATATGGATATTTTCTCAGATAACTTGTGTGTTGCATGAGAATCGAGTGTTTCGTGAAGGGAAATTCGGGCTTATTCTACTACCTTTATTATAAATTCACACCTTRGTGAAGAGAAAAGTTTTCTTTCGTTGGCTTGTCACGCAGACAACGAAAGATCCATTATCGATCATCACGCAAAAAAATTCTTMAAAAAACCTTAAAAAATCACCCGAACTGGTTTTTTGTCCTTGGTTTATTGTCAAAGCCGTTTGAAGTACTCGGAAAGTGAGAAAAACATGRAGGTTTTCGATGATATTTCTCGATGCTAGCGTGACATGATTTCGACATCACGTACAGATCGCGTTTTCTTGAATCTTATTGAAGAAATACCCATTCCATTTAAATTCATTCAAAGTTTAGTTGTTATTGTAAGAATTCTATTTTCTATTAGATTCAGGCTTTGAGATATTATTTTGCTTTCATACTGAGGCAATCCTACTGTGGCTGAACATCGATTGTCTTGATGGTCAAACCCCCTGTAACGCAGGTTCCTTTTCGTTTGCCGACAGTCATTATTGATAAACCTTGTTCTAAATAGTAATCTTTGTGTGACAATGTACGAGTGTTGTTCAGTATTATCCAGTAACTGGTGCTTGGGGAAGAATTAGGTCAACATGCACTGGCCTTACTGGAAAATGAATACACAAGCGACAATGTGACGCGTCACTGCACTGGATAAGCTCGAACTGGGCGGTTCTAGATAAAGGCTGGTTCTCGTTGTTTTGTAATGCCAAAGTATTGTTGACRCATTAAATTCGCTTTCTTTATTGACTGAAAAAAAATATAAGCCGGTGATTACTTGTACAGACTAAACATGATCATCGTGATAGATTGTTTTTTTGAAGATTATTGTAGTTTAGTCAGCTTTATGCAGTTTCTGTATATATTAGGACTATATACACTGTATGCTATGATTTATATTTTTGTAGTTGACTGCTAGCAAAAATAGTCAAAACATCTCAGCACTTTATCTACCATAAAGCCATTGTTTTAGCATTGTTAAACCTCATTCTTATGAATTTCAGTAAATGGGAAAAATGGACAGGAGGAAACATGCGAGGATCTTGTGCGAGAATTTGAAGGAAATGGATTATTTTCACAGCTTTCCCTTGAGGTAAAATAGTTTAACTGAATCTTGATATCCAATCATTCTCCATTTCCCTGCATACTCATTAGAACAAATCCAAACAAACAGCTGATCAAACTCAATCTATCAACAATCACTTGGTTGATTTTTCTACCAGCAATTGGGGTAACATCRAACTTTTAGGTGGCTGTGAGTTTGATATTGAAAGATAAACAATCAGACTGTATTAAACGTATTCAATTCTTGTGTTCAGTATGGCATGCAGGCTCAGTACACTGAGATCTGTTCAATCTTATCATGATTTAAATTAAATTATATTTGTGGGCAAAGCTATGCTGAATTCCAAAATCCCTTTTTTAACATCGTGTTATACATGTAGTGGATAGGTTGGGTTTCCTGTGTTGTATTATATTGAATCACGTGACTCAATATAATACAACATCAGTATAATACAACATCCTGAACTGATCTTTGTTAAAGTACACAGGTGTTGATAGGCTCATTATACTTACTTAACTTACCCCTTTAACTCCTACTACAGCATACCCTTACTGCATGTGGTTCGCTTCACTAGTTCAAAGTTTTTAGCTGCCTGAATGCTATAGATTCTTGTATGTCTTAAATSCTATGTSCTYACACTACTCGCAAAATAAATACAGTTGCATGCTTGCAAAAATTTGCCATACAGTATAGTAATGCCTACCATTTATAGAACTAGCACAAAATGATCAAAGTTGTGTAAAAAGATAAATTTAACTGTAAAAAATAGGTGAAACAACTTACTGATGTTTCGGACATTAATACTTTGTCAGAGTGTTAACGCCCGAAACAGCAGTAAGTTGTTTCACCTATTTTTTACAGTGTTAAATTTATCTTTTTAYGCAACTATTTTTTTAGAAACACTGACGTAGCTCACACTAGTTTACAGCTACAGTTGTAGTTTCCTACACTTGTAGAACTAATTGTTCATACTTTGTTGTAAAATTATATTTGCACTTCTTTCTATACTAATGGGCTCTTAATTTGTTAACAAATTGGTTCACAGCAATTGAAAATATGACAGAATACACTACTTAATGATTATTGATGATCATATTTTAGTAGATAAAACACTAAAACAATGAAAAAATTACTAGTAAGAATGCTAAATTAATATAACAGAATAATCTGAATTCCTTTGTTTTTTCTACACTATATTGCACTTTTTTCACTATTTGTCTATAGTTACTTTTTAACTGTTTTAGACAGACTCTATGATCGTACATGAAATCATACTTTCAAATAGAATWAATTGAACAAAGAGCCACACAATTTGTAACTTGGTTTTCACTCTTTAATGGATGTTTCGGGCACTCACCCTTCTTCAGCAATAATACTTTTAAATACAATGTGACTAAAATTTTTGATAATGTGACTGACCTCAGAACAGTTTCTGTGTCAGTAACCTCACTGATGAAGTCGAAATAATTTTGGGTTCTTCACCCCATACCACACACACAGCCTGCTATGAAGTTATCAAATATAATGCATCATGTACATAGTGGGATTAGAACCTTAAAATATGTAATGATTTTCAACCAGTGGCTATTTAAGGGACAGTTATTGACATAAAAACAATAAGTATGAGTTACGATTGCACTAGAAATAATGGCTGAGTTGTAGATCTAACCTGGTTAATGTAACATGTTGTTATGGTTACTGTATCTTAAAAGAAGGCAAAGTACCTTAATACTTGCACATATGTTCATTATCTTAAGAGCRTAGATTCATATCAAACACCATATTTCATGGATTTGGCCCTGAATTGAAGTAGTTAATAACATGATATAGTCCATTCACAAATAATTTCTTTTTGTACAATCCCTASTAACATATTTTCCATTGTGCATTAATTTATGTTAAAATATCAAAATAACTGAATTCCCTATATATTATTTGTAGATCATCATAAATGTTGTGTTGTTTGTTTGTAGGCTTTGGATGGTTTCATTGTGGTCATCACTCAAGAGGGACAGCTCTTCTATGTCTCTGAAAATGTTCGAGATTTTCTAGGTTATTCACAGGTAAGAAAACAAAGTAAAAAAATACTTAACAATAGAGTAGATTTTATAGTGCATAATTGTGCTATGATATAACTGTAGTTGCCACAGAAACTGTATGTTCTGGAAAATAGATTTTCATACAATCACTTGTTCAATTCTTTACCAATGAGGGAATGAGGAAAATTTGTTGTTGAATAATGATCCCTGGATTGGACCTTGACAGCCAATAATCTCTTTACGGCTGCCTGCTCCATCTTGAGAGGTAACTGCGCCAGCCCTTTGCATCAAAGTGAAACAGTCGATAAGTGTGTAATGAGAGAAACACACAAAAAGTTTTCTATGGGTGTGAACAATGGTTTCTATCATTGCATGCTCGCCTGTAATCTTAATACTCTCAGTAACACTTGAAGATGGCAGAGGGAACCGTAAAGAAGATTATTACCGGTTTAGCACATGACGTCGTCATGGTGACCATGTTTGTGATTGACACAGGAATTCTTATTAGTCAATCAACCAATCAATCAATTCCTTCTTCGTCATTCTGTGAATAACATTTAAGTGATCTCTACTTGAGTAAACAAGAACTATCCAGTGTCTGGCATTTATACTGACCAGCATGTGGCTGCACTTAGATTGAARTCAATCTGTTGACTTTGTTTATACAGCATTTAGATCTTCATTTGAGAGGGKTTTTTTATTACAAAGAGGGAAAGATGGCAGAAAGTCAATCCATTTGAATTGTTTGTTTTGTAAATGTTATAATTTTTAGTGATTTTTTTGTTTTTGTTTTTAATGCTTTTTGGCAATATACTGTGTTATACATGTATATGTAATTGCCAGAAATTCAAATTTCAGTAGTAGACCTTTCTTCTGGAACAGTTATATATTATATTATATTATATGGCACTAAATCAGCTGAAATGCTGGATGGCAAAATACCTACTGGGATGTTCAAACAAAGAAAACCTAAGCTTGACAGGCTGCGCTCCTCTTGCTTTTTGAGGTTTACATTCTTTTTTATCCAGTATGGCGGATTTAGTACCATGTGACTRTTTCATGCAAAAGGCCTATTGGTATCTCATATATACCTAATTGTGCACCTAAAAGTTGCCTTTTCGCATAATAACATGAATTCCACACCATAAAATCCTTTTATCACTGAGGATTACGGTCACCCAATTCGGACAGAATGGGTCACAGAAAGTTCTGTTCAATTTAACTGATGGCTTTTATACCTGGATTGGTTATTATTTATTTGGGTCAACAATGAGAGATCAAAAGTGAGACCTGTTCGTGTTATTTTTTTACTGTTGAACACAAGTCAGTAGTTTCCATGTAACTTTATATAATGATACGTGTGTCTTTATATAAAGATACTTCTGGAAACTGTGTTTGTTTGATGCAGTACAAAGCCCATGCATGTGATTGAACTGGAATAACATGAATTATTAATGAGTTTTTTGTAAGATATATCAATACTACAAGACTTAAAACTACAACTTTCAGAAAGAACTGTTTCTGTCGCATAAACATGTATTCGACTAATAAATGCTCCAATATCATTAATAGACAAATTCATTTTCAGGTGCTAGAGTATCAATAGCAGACTGATACATTATGTCTTTAAAAATGTGCTATTTAATTGCACACTGTTGATATTTTGATTGACCAACCACACACAAAAAATACTGATAGATTAATCCTTTTATTTCGCTGAAGTCTTGTTTTCATTGTTTTTATTCCTGTTCAACCAAGATATCAAAATGAGTTTATCATAATATCAATCCCAAATACTGACAAATGGCCTGGGCATTAGAAAAGATTCTGCTTCASTAGCAATCATAAATATTATATATTTTTTACTTGACAGGCTGCAGTCATTCACCAAAGYATGTTTAAATTTCTACACATTGATGACCAGGACATAGTGAAATTAAAACTAGCATGGCCGTACAATATGTCTA